AAGAAAGGAGTACGGGCTTGTCGAAATATTTGCTCCCCGTACAACAACATACTCATACATAAACTTTTGAGAGGATGTTTTCTGTCACTAACTCCAATTAAGCTATGAAAATCATTAAAAACTCGCATAAAAATATTGATAGAATGGTGTGACTTTAAATTTAAGATAATGAATTTCAATTACTGGATATGAATTAAAATGAGTAGACTTTACATGATTTTATAAAAATTTCAAAGGCGTTGTAAATCAAATTAAAAGGCTTAGTGAAAAAATTGATGATGTGCTTGAGACAAAGAAAATCCTAACACAATAGCAACTGATCAATTAGTGGCCACTTGAAATTCATGAGCAATAAATAAGAAATGCTCAGGTTCCTTTGAACAAACTCTCCAATTTAAGAATTTTTTTTCCCCTCTTCGAATAAGAGAAGGAATAAGGGGAACATCTTAGAGGATGAGGAAGAGGCCATGCAGGTTGTAGCAAGAGCTATGGAAATTATGGAGCCTATGAAGGCCATGGAAAAGGTTGTGAAAATAGAGGTGTAGGCGGAAAAAGTAGCAGTGAATATAGAAGAGGTCAAAATTTATATACTACAAAAAAAAGGATGAATAAAAATGTGAGACAATTACAACCATTTGTTCTACGATACAAAATATTTTCATAAAGCTTTTGGAGTAGATTTGTTTAAAAGATTTAAGTTCATGCATGGCATGGAGACTTTCGAAAATTAGTTTAAAAGGGGATGTTATTAGTTCACGCAAACTCAAATTTTGAGTCTTTGGTAACATGTATATTGGGGTATCATTTGTGAATTTGTCTTCTTTTTTTTTTTGTTACTTGTACGTCATAATATGTCAAGTGCGTCTCTAGAATGCGGTAGGTAAATATATGTGGCTAAACGTTGAACACATCAATAATATATGTATTAATATAAGACAAGAGCACGTTTTTTAAAATCAGGTTGTCATGGATTAAAGTGGAAGAAAGCAAAATCTTCGTTAAAGAAAGTGCAAAAGCAAATTCTTTACTGGGAAGTGTCATATTTTACCTCCTAGATCAGATGGGTCTCGTTATTGCTAGCTTTATTCTCTGCTTCCGTGAGTAAATATCGCTTTTTTCAAGTTCAATTTTACAAGGCGTTTGGTATGTATTAAATTTTTATTTTTATTTTTATATACATATATTTATTAAGGTGATATCAAATAACATCTATCAACATCTCTTTTTTATTTTTTTACATATTTTTTTTTTCATAAAAAGTACACTTATTTAGAATATCTCAAATCATCCCAAGTGTAATGCTAAAAAAAATGTTGAAAAGGATTGTTTAGAATGATTTAAATAAGTATATTTTTTAATTTTTTATGAAAAGATGTATAAAAAAATAGAGGGATAGTGTGATAGGTACACTTATTTAATTTATATCAAATAGTGCCTCTTTAAATTTATGCCTTTCTAGTAATTTTTTAATTCTTTTTATAAGAAAAGATGCATGAAAATAAACAGAAGAGATTGAATTTTAGTATTATTTTTGTAACATCTCAAAATATATTTACTTAATCTTTGCACAAAAATATAATTATAACATTTTATTGGGCCATATTGGGAATATAGGGAATTGGTGCAAATTGTTTCAAGAAGCCTCATGAATGGCATGGTAAGCCATGCGTGAAACCACGTGGTTACACAGTGCTACATAATAAGGATCTTCTTACCTATAAATAGGTGAGTTGTATGGTAATGAAATCATAAGGCGAGGGGTATCTGATTCTGAGAGAGTGAGTTGAAGTCAGAAGTGAGAGTAAATGATCAAGTTTGAGATAAGTTGTATTATATTTTGATCTACCATAAAATGTTTCATGTAAATTATGTTTTGCAAATTATATGAGTTTTTAAAAGTATATTATGAACCCTATTTGCTTACAAAAGGAAACACATAGATAAAATTGTTTATTAAATGTGTTTTTAAATAATTATTTTGTAAGTACCACCATAGAGGTCTCATGCCTTGGGGGACTTAAATAACCATTGGCCTTCTGAATTATCACTTTAAGCGACTCTTTGTTTGTCATGGATCCATTGACCCTCTGATTTCTGGTGTGGAGCAAAGTGCTCTGCAGAGCTAAGTGCTACACTATTGTAGGAGCCACCTCTTGAATTTGTACATCTGTTCTGTTCTCTAGAATGAAGCAAAGTGCTGTGCAGAACTAAATGCTACATTATTGTGGGAGCCACCTTTAGAATTCATATGGACCACCTCTTGAGTCCATACATTTGTTCTGTTTTGTTTTGTATTGTGGTTATAATTATTTTGTTTATATGATTTATGTATTATATGTCTATTATTCAAAATGATTTCCGTATTATGTACTATGTATTTTAATATCAAATTAAGCTCTGTTTAGCCGAAATAATTATCCATAGTGGTTTTTATACACTGATACTCTCAGTATAATATTTCTTACTATGTTATGTACTTATAGTTGTTAAACACTTTTAGGTAACGTGTCAGGACCAATGCGTAGGATAGACACAAGACACAAGGCACTTTGTAGTTTTAGTACAACTCTGGCAATGTAATTGAATAGAAGTTTCAATATATATTTTTTTAATTAAATAAAGTTTTTGGATACCTTTTTATTTTACTCCACTACGCTATTAATTTGTTATGACTTCAATTATTGTCTTGTCGCGACGTCGAACCTCCAGGTACCGAGTTTAGGTCGTGACAAAAAGGTATTAGAGCAATGGTGTTCTTTAGAATAATTTATTTTAAAACCAAAAACATTTAGCATATGACAGACGCACAATTAAAAAGTAGGGTAATGAATGTTTTGTAAGGATTCACTTTGGGTAAAAACTGTCATGTTGTCTCTCTTCAATCACTACTCTGTTGGAAGTAAAGAAAAGCTAAGAGGATATGTTTTGTCCTCCTTCAATTACTGCTTTGCCAAAGCCAAAGAAAAGCTGAGGGGACATTTTTGTGAATTATGTGTACATTTTGTTTTGTGTAATGCTTATAATTAATATGAACCAATAAGAATTGTGGATCGGGTTCATTAAAACTTTATTTTGTAGTTATGGTTCCAATAGAACTAATTGTATCAGAGTGCGCAATAGAAACGAAAAGATAATTTACTAAATCAATTTTGAGAATGAAATTTGAAAATGATTGAAGAATGTGACACCCTAAAATATATTTACTTCACCTTTGAAGAAAAAAATGTAATTATAACATTTTATTAGGCCATGATGGGAATATGGGGGAATTGGTGCAAATTATTTCAAGAAGCCTCGTGAATGGCATGGTAAACCATGTGGTGGAACCATGTGGCTGCAGAGTGCATAATAATAAGAGTCTTTTCATCTATAAATAGGTGAGTTGCATGGTAATGAAATTACAAGAATAACAAACGAGGGGTATCTAAAAGAGTGAGTCGAAGTCAAAAGTGAAAGTAAATGATCAAGTTTGAGATAGTTTGTATTATATTTTAAGCTATCATAAACAGTTTTTTGTAATTTATGTTTTACAAGTTATATGAATTTTTAAAAATATATTATGAACCTATTTGCTTACAAAGGGAAACCCATAGATAAAATTGTTTATTAAATATATTTTTGAACAATTATTTTATAAGTATCACCATGGAGGTCTCATATCTTAGGGGACTTAAATAACAATTGACCATTTGAATTGTCACTTTAAGTGACACTCTGTTTGTCATGCATCCATTGACTCTTTGATTTATGGTATGAAACAAAGTGTTGTGAGGAGTTAAGTGCTACATTATCGTGGGAGCCACCTCTAGAATTCGTACAAGTCACCTCTTGAATTTATACATTTGTTATGTTTTGTTATCTGGTATGGAGTAAAATGCTGTACGGAACTGAGTGTTACAATATTATGAGAGCCACCTTTAGAATTCATACGAACCACTTCCTGAGTCTATATGTCTGTTTTGTTCTATTCTGTACCGTGGTTATGATTATTTTGTTTATATGATTTATATATTATATGTTTGTTATTCAAAATAATTTCTGTGTTATATACTCTGTATTTTAATATCAAATTAAGTTCTGTTTAGCCGAAATAATTATCCATGGTGATTTTTATACCCTAATGCTTTCAATATAATATTTCTCACTCTATCATATACTTATAGGTGTTAACCATTTTCAGGTGACGTGTCAAGATCAGTGCGTTAGTATAGCTTTTAATATATATGTTTTTAATTAAATAAAGTTTTGGGTACCCTTTTACTTTATTCCACTGCACTATTAATTTATTATGACTTTAATTATTGTCTTATTGCAACGCCGAATCTCCGGGTATTGAGTTTGGGTCGTGACAATATTTTTGATTTTTTGGACTAATTTGACATATTTCCAATCAAGGCCTTAGTGATACAATTAATTAATTAATGGGTAAATATTGAGATTTGCTAAAACTAAAAATCATCTCATGTGATTTAAAAAATTATAAATGCTTTATTGTCAAAAATTTTCATTTAACAAAATTAACTTAAATAATAAAATTAATGCAAGGCTTTTTTTTTTTTTTTTTATATACATTACACCAAATACAGAAGGGGAAAAAAAAAAAACCTACACCAAAAAAAAAAATACTGTTTTCACTACCATGTATGCTTTCTTTTCTATAATTACAAACACATTTCTTGATATTTATTTAAATTATAAATTATCTCTTGTGGTTTTAGGAATTATATTATGCTTCCCTAAAGTTTCTAATTTCATAACAAATAAATCTTTTTATTAATAAATCATCAAGTTAATTAATAGTTTTTAATAATATTAAAATTTTATTTCAACTAATAACAATTTTATTATTGTATAGGTGAACAGTTAGAAATTTCACTTTTACAATTAATTCTCTTAAATAAAAAATTCTGATAGGGAAGTATTTGTAATTTTCCAAATCACAGGGGGCAATTCATATTTTAAGCAAACCTCAAGGGATATATTTGTAATTTATCCAAATTAAAAATTACTGTCGGCACACGCAGTGCACGTGACCATCGCCAGATGTTACGCATAGGGCACACGCTGGTGCCGCCGGTATCCAAAACCCTCTTTCCATCCATCGCTTGAAGCCGCCTCCATTTTCGCCATTCGATTCGATCTCCTCTCGTAAGCCTCCAAACTTCTTTTCTTCATCTTCTACTTAGATCTTCAACTCTCTCTCTCTCAACTTTGTTTCACTTCACATTGATGCTTTTTTCTGATTCTGACGTTTCCTCAAGCTCTGTAACACAGGATTAGCATCAATGGTGGGAAGTGTTGGGGTGTTTTCTGGCGATCTCAATCTCGAAGAGGTTGAGCCTTTGCCGGAGGATTTTGATCCAACTGAAGTGATTAAAGATCCTCTGCCACCGGTGGTGATTGATTGCTGCGAAGTCATCGCCAATGGCAAAAGTGAAGAAAAGAAGCTGGAAAGGGAGATTGTGCTTGGGAGGAATGTGCACACAATGTGCTTTGATGTCACCGAGCCCGATGCCGACGATGAGGTCACCGGAGAGAGGGAAGGCTATATGGCTAGTGTGTTGGCTAGATATAGAAAGTCTTTGATTGAGAGGACTAAGCACCATTTGGGTAACGATTATTTGCTTTTTAAAAGAAAAAAATTGGATTGCTTTATTTTACATTTGATGATGTTTATTTATTGCTGAATTTGATGCATTTTGAATTGCCCCAATGAGTGTGTTTTGTAGGATTTTGAAGTATGACCTTGTAGTCTTGTTGGCCTTCTGGAATGGAACTGGCTCTTGGGTGTTTATGAATTTTGACCATTGATATATAAAAGTTGCATTCATTTGATGAAGTCAGAAAATGAATTAGAAATTTATCTTAAGCTTTAGGGTATGTTCATAAAAATTACCTCAGATTGATGATTAATTTCAAAATAAAGATAATTTAGTCTCCACTTGCAATTTTGTGATTTGTAAAGTATTTGTGTATAAATTTGATGTGGGGACTGGGGTCTAAGAAACTTTTAACCGTCATTGGTGCTTGCCAGTGGCAAGCCTCAGTAACCTTGCTACTACGCAGAGTCTACATTTGGTAGCTGGAGTAGAGACCTTCTAAAGTAATAGTGCGCTTAGCCAGGGAAGTGAAGGGAATGTGATTGGTACCATCAAAATGGAATTTTTGAACCAATAGGACCTTAGGGTATATAGTCAAAGGCGAATCATTCTTGACATTATTTCTGCTTTCTCAGCATAATGTGCAAACATGAATATTTATTTATTTTAGTAGCCTTGGTTAAGTCCTAATGGATAAAAACTTGAACCATATCTGGCATTTAAATTATATCGATTGCTAATATGGTATAAAAAATACTAGAGATTCCAAACATTTTACCAAAAATTATACTAAACACTCACATGAGTGTGGGTTCTACACCCATGTGAGTGCTGTGTCAAAATTTTGGTAGTATATTTGGTATCCCTAGCATTGCTCATAAGGTATAGCCATAGCGCTTCCATTTCTGAATAAAATATATAATGTGTCAAAAAGCATGGCCATGGGTACTACCATACACCTAACTTAATATTGGATCCATGCTTGGATACATTGGATGTGGTTATACAATGCTAGAAACTGTAATGACTTAAACTTTTGCCATAGTTCAATATGATGATAGTAACGAATCATGTTGTAGTTTACTACAACTTTTATTGAATAGGCGAGGCTGTCAAAGCAATAGCAATATTACTCACCCATGCTATATTGTATGATGTATTTAAATAAAAATATATGCAAAACTGTTTGTTTATTTCTGTTTCAAAACTAGTCCAGCTTTATAATCCTATAGGACTCTCTTCTCGTCCTATAATGGGTTGATGTGTACTCAACTAGCCTTTTTCTCAACTCAACATGGATTCATTTCCTTTAGTTGGCTCTACTAGTATTTAGTAGTATACAACAATTATGTCATTTCTTATGTCTCAATTCATGTTCTGCTTGACGTTCTTCAAATTTTTTTACCAACCCTTAACATGAATCAAATCACTCCTTACAAGTGCATTATTTGGTTTATGTTGCATCTGGTATTTTTCCTCATTTTATCTTCAATTGGTGCCACTTCTAACTTCCTGCATTTGTTTCATGTTATATATTTTTTTTCATGCCACTCGTCATCTCAACATTTTCATTTCTGGTACCCTGAATTTTTTAAACATGTTACACTGTTTTTTTGCTCATATAAATGAAAAATGTTTACTGTTGTCTCTATAATATAATTCAATAATATTTTATCTGCTCTCATTGAGAGTATAGGCCATAGCATTATTTTCATGAAAAGTAACATAAATGTTCATCAAACAAGAATAGGGATCTTGTAGCCTTAGCATCATGGCTAAAAAGCAAAGAGGATGCATTGATATGGTTTTTGCCTAAATCTAAACAATCTGGCATACATTGTAGTGTCACCAACTTTGGCCTCGTTTGGGAACAGGCTAATTTAGTAACTTTTTAGCTATTTGGCTAAAATATGAGCTAAAAAAAACTAGTATGTTTAGGATAACTTTTTGGCTTTCTACGAAAAGATGTGCAAAAAGTAGAGAGAAAAGAGAATTTTTGACTTTTTAGTATGGGTTATTGGCTTTTTGGCTAATTTAGTAACTTTTTGGCTTTTTGCCTAAAAGGGAAGGTTCCCAAACGAGGCCTTTGTGAAGTAGGTCAACATGGTGTGTTGCTCTTGTGTGTTCTATTTGTGTTATTCTCAGAGGGTATTTCTTTTCGTCTATTTTTGAGTTGGCTGTTGTTAACTCTTTGAACAGATTTTTTTGATCTTGTTACTTGATACTTCTTGTTATTTCTCTTAGTCTTAGAAGAAAAAGTACTATGAGATTTCAGTTCTGATGTGTTTCTTCCACTATGTGAACATGGGCCATCTCAGGCCTCGTTTGGCAATAGGCCGGTTTAGCCAAAAAGCCAAAAAGTTACTAGAAAAACCAAAAAGCCAACAACCCATACCAAAAAGTCAAAGATTCTCTTTTCTCTCTACTTTTTGCACATCTTTTCGTAAAAAGTCAAAAAGTAATTCCAAACATAGTAGTTTTTTTTGGCTCATATTTTAGCCAAATAGCCAAAAAATTACTAAAATTAGCCTGTTCCCAAACGAGGCATCAATCTCTCAAATGTGGAAATACAATGGGATACAAGCATTTGGGAGGTTGGGGACATAATTTGAAAAATTGATGGAACTCACTCTCTCTCTCTCTCTCTCTCTCTCTCACACACACACACACACACACACACACACACAATTGTGATATAATTTTATCATTAAATTAATTTTTGATTAAATTCATGCTAAATTGTTTTTAAAGTTGTATTCAGGTATTTATATCAATTGAAGTTTTAAATTTTTTTATTTTGCATCATTAAAATTTACTAGATTGTTGTATCTCATATGGAGATCTGTGTTTTGCAACAGGGTACCCCTACAATCTTGATTTCGATTATGGTGCTCTGGGACAGTTACAACATTTCTCCATTAACAATCTTGGTGATCCATTTATAGAGAGCAACTATGGAGTCCATTCCAGGCAGTTTGAAGTGGGCGTATTGGATTGGTTTGCCCGCCTATGGGAACTTGAGAAGAATGAATATTGGGGTTACATTACAAATTGTGGAACAGAAGGCAATCTTCATGGTATATTAGTCGGGTTAGTATCAACAGGCTTCATTTTTGTGACTTTTTATTTTTATGATGTTTTGACCTATCGTGTATCTTGTCAAAGTTTAAGAAGATTATACTGATTCTGCAGGAGGGAAGTGCTTCCAGATGGCATTCTGTATGCCTCACGTGAATCACATTATTCTGTTTTCAAAGCTGCACGAATGTACAGGATGGAATGTGAAAAGGTCGACACTTTGGTCTCAGGTGAAATTGATTGCAAGGATTTCAAAACTAAACTCCTTTGCCACAAGAGCAAGCCAGCAATTATCAACGTAAACATTGGTACTTCCCTCCCTCTCTCTCTCTCTCTCTCTCTCTCTCTCTCTCTCTCCATGTGTTGTGATGTATTGTTAACAAATAAATTTCTGCAGGCACAACTGTTAAGGGAGCTGTTGATGATCTAGATCTGGTTATACAGACCCTCGAAGAAACAGGATTCACACATGACCGGTTCTACATTCACTGCGATGGGGCTCTATTTGGTCTCATGATGCCTTTTGTAAAACGTGTAAGCTTTCAGTGCTTTTGGAAGCAAATGTTGTGCCACATACTTTGTGCACAAACAATATTGATTGGAATCCACCATTAGTTGAGTTTACCTGCAAGATAATTGGTCAAATATCTCTCCTTTTGCTGATTTCAAGATTTTTTACTACTGTTTCCTGTTCTACCATTAATTTTGTTTGGGTCTTGGTCAAATGTAATATGGAGTAGCTAGGATCCCCTAGGTTGGATCCACTAATTTATTAGTAGATCCTGTACATCCACTGTGTTCATTTCTTGCATGTTTGAAACACATCTACATGGTGGTTGGAGGTGTGTGAAATGCAAATGGGGGTGAAAAAAAAAAAATTGCAGAAAAATCTTTCCACTTTAACAGTTAGTTCACAATTTGTGAAAGAATCAGTACTGGTTGGTCAGGTGCAACAGATGCTTTAGTATTCTTGATGTTGCTTCATCTTTGAACCCTTTTTTTCTTGCATTATGGTTTGCTTCAGTATTTGCATAAAGGGGAGCAAAACAGTTTCCCAGTCCAATTTAATATTAGTTTTTGGTTATAGTCTACAGACTCTACACTATTATTTGAAAATGACTGTTTACATTCTCAATGTGTGTATATATTCCTTGTTCTAATTGTTCTTGTGCTGACTAGGCACCGAAAGTTTCTTTCAAGAAGCCTATAGGAAGCGTGAGTGTTTCTGGCCACAAGTTTGTGGGATGCCCTATGCCTTGTGGCGTTCAAATAACAAGATTGGAGCACATTAATGCCCTATCAAGGAACGTGGAGTATCTTGCTTCTAGAGATGCAACTATTATGGGAAGCAGAAATGGCCATGCACCAATCTTCCTCTGGTACACCTTAAACCAGAAAGGGTACAGAGGGTTCCAGAAAGAAGTACAAAAATGCCTCAGGAATGCACACTACTTGAAGGACCGCCTCATAGCAGCTGGCATTGGAGCAATGCTCAACGAACTCAGCAGCACAGTTGTGTTTGAGCGCCCACAAGATGAGGAGTTTGTTCGCAAGTGGCAGCTCGCTTGCCAAAGGAACATTGCACATGTGGTGGTCATGCCCAACATTACCGTCGATAAGCTTGATGATTTCTTGACCGAACTGATTGAGAAACGTGCCACTTGGTATCAGGATGGGAGGCTTCAATCTCCTTGTGTTGCTTCAGATATAGGTAAGGAAAACTGTCTTTGTGCACTACACAAGTGACAAGTGATGGATGTTGTGCTTTCACAGTTCCTGTATGGCCTCTGTTGTTTTGTCTGTATTAGAAGACTTTGTTCTAATCTGCTCCTTTACTATGATACTTTGGGCCTCATATTCTTATCCATTACGTGCTTTGTTCTGTTGAGCTTTTTGAATTCTGAAATATGCTAGGTGAGATCTGATCTTACTTTCTCTAGAGAATGTAGAGTCAAAAGACAGATGTAATAAAGTTTCATCAACTTGTTTGCAGAGCACACAATTAAAGCATTATCAATATCCCTTGCATCCCTGAAGTTTGTCTTTAGTCCACAGTTTTCCTCTAAGCAAAATGAAACTATGTCTAGGAATATTATTAGAAAACCAAACAAACTTATGCCATGCAACTAAAGGGTAATGAGACCTTGAAGCATTCCAGGTGTGAGAAGCATTATGTACTTGCATGCAGGGGAGATAGTCCATTCCACCTAATCAGCTTTTTTAGAATTAGGCTGAAAAGAAGTCTTTGCCAAATACAAGGAAAAAAAGGCCATGCCCGTTGATTGTATATGATAGCAGAAACTTTAGCAAGGAGAGCAACACTTTAGGCTATGTTTGGATTATGTATTTGGGTAGGAATTTGAAAAAGAAAAGGGAAAAAAGAAGTGAATGTGAATGTAATGTAGTTACATTTTATCTATATTTCAATCACCTTTTCCTTTTTAAATCCTTACCAAAATTTATGATTCAAGTATAATCTTAAACCTTTAGCAAAATAGGGACAAATGATTTATTAATCGTGTTTAGATTATGAATTTAGGTGAGTATTTAAAAAGGAAAAGAGAAATGGAATATATATATTTTTCACATTTTTCTTATTTTTTTTCTTTCTTTTTAAATTTTTATTCAAATTAAAGTTTCAAACGTAAAGGATTGAAAGGGGCCAATTATCAAATCAAAAAAATGTACAACCAAAACGACCAAAATCTATGACCGGCAAGCATGATTGGGATGGGTGAGCACAATCTTGGTGGGGCCTTTTGGATGTGGGCTTTCTTGAATTTTTGGGCTTGTTTCACGACAAGAAAACTATAATTAATACAAAACATGAAAAAGCTATTAAATGTCTAGCTAAATAAAATAGAAATTTGCTAATTTAATTATTGTTTTGAGATACAAAACCCAGCCCATTAAAAAAAGAAGGATAAATTACACTTTGCCCTTTATATATTTGGCCATTTTCTCACTTTGGCCTTCAATTTATTTTATTTTATTTATTTATTTTTTTCACTTTGGCTATTTATGTTTCAAGTTTTTTTTTCTCCAATTTACTCTTAAATCTAATTTCTATTAAAAATTAGACAGAAAATGATACATTGATAGTCATGCAGAATAAATATATTTTATTTTGTATAACTTAAAATCTAATATAATAATATATTTTTATGTTATGTGGCAGTTATTGTGTTGTTTTTTGTTTAATTGTGAACAAAAAATTAGCGTTAGGAGTGAATTGGAAAAATTTGAAATGTAAAGAGCCAAAGTGACAAAAAAATAAATTTTAAGGGCAAAATAGAAATGTGGCCAAACATAAAAGGACAAATTGTAATTTATCAAAAAAAAAGAAAAGAAAAGAAAAGAAATTAAAAGACAGTGAGAAGTGGTGAAATTATTTACCAAAAGGTGAGAGATGCATCTTATAAAAAATTGCTCTCCCGTACGTTTGTAATTATTTTTAATTTTTTATACTTATTTGTAGTTTTTCCAAAAAAGAACTAGGATAATTCCTTGTTAAAAACTCCAAATGAGCTAATCTTCCAACCACATTAGTACTAGCTTGGTAACACTTCCGTTTCCCTCTGTTTTCTATTTTTGTTTTTGTTTTTGTTTTTTTTGAAAATTGGAAATGAAAAGTAGTAGTTATACGAAACAAGTTTTTTACTTTTTAAAGAAAAAATCAGAACCTCATTACCTATTTTACATAAAATAGAAAAAAAGAACCTCTTAACGTTATCAAATGAATTTTTTGTAATCCTCATTTAGAAGAGATAAAATATGAGTTCGAGTTTGGTAGCCACATATATTCCACTAGCATTGTTTTTGTTTTATTTTGGATTCAATGCTAAGGGTACACACAACTGGGCAGCCCTCCCTTTACCCAGATGAAGCCATGATTCGATCCTAAGGTTTTCTTGATATCAAGATTATGAAATTTTACGAAGGCATCTCTATTCGAACTAGGGATGGCAATGAGAGTTAATGGGGTGGATATTAATTCTTCATCCCCATTTCCCTATAATAAATTTTCCTCATTCTCCATTCTCCATTCCCATGGATATCACTCTCCCCATTTCTTAATGGGTTTGGATTTTTCCCAACCCACTTTAATCCCTATTTTTATTTTATTTTTATTTTTTAGATTTAATGTTAACAATCACTTTTTTTTTTTATTTTTTATTTTTTAAAGGTTCACAACAAAAGCTAAATATACCTTCAATCTTTTTTCTTTCTTTTTTAATATATTTAATGTTAACAACTTTTTTTTTTCTTTTTTTTTAAGTTTTAGCTAAATATACCTTCAATCTTTTTTCTTTCTTTTTTAATATATTTAATGTTAACAAATTATTTTTTTATTTTGTTTTAAGGTTGACAACAAAAACTAAATAATTTATTAATGTGTTTATTTTTTTTAAAATTCAAATATCAAAAAGGTCAAAATACGCATGACGCCTACTAATGTGTAGTCTCTCTCTCTCTCCTATTCTTCCACCTCTGCCGGCCTCGTTCCACTCATGTTCTCTCTTTCTAATTTTTTATTTTTTATTTAAAAACTAAATTATTGATAAAAGAAAAAAAAAATTGACTGAAACAATTTTAAGACCTCACTTTTTTCTTTCTTTTTTTTTTTTTGAGAATATCAAAAAAATCAAAAGTAAAAAATAAGAATAATGTTTGGGACCCCCTTTTGGGGGTCACCCCCTCACCCCCTTTGCCACGTGGCGGGTGGTGATTGGAGGAGCAGGAAAAAAAAGAAAAAGAATATATATTTTTCATATTTTTCTTATTTTTTTTCTTTCTTTTTAAATTTTTATTCAAATTAAAGTTTCAAACGTAAAGGATTTAAAGGGGCCAATTGGAATCCACCATTAGTTGAGTTTACCTGCAAGATAATTGGTCAAATATCTCTCCTTTTGCTGATTTCAAGATTTTTTACTACTGTTTCCTGTTCTACCATTAATTTTGTTTGGGTCTTGGTCAAATGTAATATGGAGTAGCTAGGATCCCCTAGGTTGGATCCACTAATTTATTAGTAGATCCTGTACATCCACTGTGTTCATTTCTTGCATGTTTGAAACACATCTACATGGTGGTTGGAGGTGTGTGAAATGCAAATGGGGGTGAAAAAAAAAAAATTGCAGAAAAATCTTTCCACTTTAACAGTTAGTTCACAATTTGTGAAAGAATCAGTACTGGTTGGTCAGGTGCAACAGATGCTTTAGTATTCTTGATGTTGCTTCATCTTTGAACCCTTTTTTTCTTGCATTATGGTTTGCTTCAGTATTTGCATAAAGGGGAGCAAAACAGTTTCCCAGTCCAATTTAATATTAGTTTTTGGTTATAGTCTACAGACTCTACACTATTATTTGAAAATGACTGTTTACATTCTCAATGTGTGTATATATTCCTTGTTCTAATTGTTCTTGTGCTGACTAGGCACCGAAAGTTTCTTTCAAGAAGCCTATAGGAAGCGTGAGTGTTTCTGGCCACAAGTTTGTGGGATGCCCTATGCCTTGTGGCGTTCAAATAACAAGATTGGAGCACATTAATGCCCTATCAAGGAACGTGGAGTATCTTGCTTCTAGAGATGCAACTATTATGGGAAGCAGAAATGGCCATGCACCAATCTTCCTCTGGTACACCTTAAACCAGAAAGGGTACAGAGGGTTCCAGAAAGAAGTACAAAAATGCCTCAGGAATGCACACTACTTGAAGGACCGCCTCATAGCAGCTGGCATTGGAGCAATGCTCAACGAACTCAGCAGCACAGTTATAGTAGTTTTTTTTAGCTCATATTTTAGCCAAATAGCCAAAAAATTACTAAAATTAGCCTGTTCCCAAACGAGGCATCAATCTCTCAAATGTGGAAATACAATGGGATACAAGCATTTGGGAGGTTGGGGACATAATTTGAAAAATTGATGGAACTCACTCTCTCTCTCTCTC